CCCGCGCCTGGCGGGCCGGGGCAGGCCGCCCTGCCGGGGACTGCGTTTCCAGAACGGGAGAAGTGATTGTGTCTAGCATCGGTTTGGAGAATGCGGATTGCAGAGGGGGAAGGAATCCTGCCCGGCGAGGGTCCGCTTCAGGAGCTCGAGGGTAGGCTGGTGAGGGTCTGCGGCAGGGACAAATCTCAGCGTCCACATGCGCCAGGACGACGACTCTTGATCCGTTGGAGAGGTGTGCTATGAACTCCGCATCAACTCTTCTGTCAACACATTATTCACTGGCCGTCTCCTCCGTGCCGCGCCTGCAGGGCTGGGCAACAGTGGTGAGAACGGCCCCATGTGGCCTTTACGGAGCTCCCCGTCTCCTTGGGGAGACCCATGGGGGGACACAGTTACGGTCCACTGTGATCACCGAAGTATGCCCGTGGAGAAGGGGCGCTGCTGCTGGCAAGTCATTCATTCCTCAGATATTAATTGAGGTGCTCCAACCAAGTGCGACTTGTGTGCCCTAGCGGAAGTTGAGTGTATGGAGTGTTAGGGGAACTGTGAGGGGGTCACCCAATCCTGCCCAGGCGGGTCAGGGATGGTTTTTCAGGTGAGGTGACTCTTGAACGGGGTTTTGAAGGAACAGTGGAGTTATTCAGGCAGACTGGAGGTGGAGGGGTAAGGGTGGTCCAGGCAGGGGGCACAGCACATGCAAGGTGTGAAGGCTTAGGTGAGTGTTGTGGTGAGGAATACCAGAGGTGTTTGCATCTGGAGCACAGGGTACAAGGAGGGGAGTAACAAGATGAGGCAGCAGGGGCTGGAATGCAAGACCAAAGAACACTGGGTGGGGCTGGAGGAGGCAGGCAAGGTTTCACCCAAGAAGGGCCTTGGAATGGCGTCTGGAAAGATGAATTAGGAGTTCATCAGGCTCCTGTTGTGAAGACATCCTAAGAGCAGGAATTCTGTTCTGCTTTGCAACTTCCTACTGGGTGCCCTTGGGCCACTCATCCAATCTCCCTGAGCCTTGGTTTCCTTACCTGTAAAATGACAGAGGCATGTGTTGAGGATTACTAATATCCTATGAATTCCCTAAGCAGTGGTTCTAACATCTGGTGGACGTTGTGGCCCCTTTCGCCTGGGAATAATGAACACACACAAGCCCAGGCACAGCTCTGTGTATCGGGGGATTCCCCCAGGAAGTCACTCCTGGGGTGAAGTAACCAGCTCTGTGCCTGGCACACAGCAGGAGCTCAGTAAATGTTGGTTGACAGATGAGCCCCTCTCCTCCCATCCCTCCTGGAGACCTGTCTCACAAAGAGATTCTTCAGCCTTTGCGTCTACCAGGCAAATGTCTGCCTCCTGACGTAGGGGGGCGGGAGGAGACAGCTGCTGTGGTCAGAGAGGGCTCTGTCTTCCTTTGCACAAATGAGGTCACAGGGGGTCACAGCAGGAACACCAGGCCCCTGTTAGACTGTCTTGTGTGATATGCCTTCATTCACCAAATGAGGAAACTAAAGCCCAGGGAGAGATGGGAGTGGGGAGTTCTGGCCCTGGTAGGGAGTGGTCAGCAGACCTGGGAATTCATACCACCCCTGTGTGGCCTGGGGCACCCTTCCCTGAGCCTCACCTTTCTTATCTGTAAAACCAGGGTGGTCACGCTTACCTCAGAGGGCAGGTGTGAGGATTCTAGGAGAGGCTGGCACACCATAGTGCCTATTAGTGGAAGCTGACTCTGTATCTGACTTGAAATTATTTGTGACTGTGTCTCACTCTTCTCCCAGACTGTAAGCTCCTTAAAGATGGAAGCTATGTTTGGCTGTTAGGGGGTGAGGGGTGGGGACAAAAGACTACTATTTATTCTCAGCCTAGACACTCACTGTCTGGTTAAGAAAACACCTCCAGAGCAGTGAGAGAGGGAGTCTGTATGAAGGACGGATTTGTGCAGTAGAGGATACACAGGTAGGTAATGGGTACAGGGCTCCAGCTTTTAGAAGGTGCCTTCCCAGCCCTTGCCCTGCCTTCGGGATTGCCCACAATAGCACTTTGCAGTGCCTAGAGTTCTCCATTTGAGAGATGAAGATTCTCAGGCTCAAAGAGAACTCAGGTCTGCCAGACAGTGAAGCCAGTGCTCTCCGCACTACAGCGGGGAGTTGTGCCGGTTGTCCGTCCCCATGTCCTTCAGTGTCCATGTCCATCACCCACCTGGCCCACCCTCTCAAGTTGCCTCAGTGTCTCCTCTCTGGTCTCACCATCCTCTCCCTCTCAGCTGGCTTCTGCCCTGTGCTCCTTCTGTTTGGCCAAGCTCATGGGGGATCCTGGGGAGGCCCACCCAGGCTGCCTTGACCCCTGCTGGATCATGGCCTGCCTTTAGCCGACCTGTTGTTATTATTTTTTTTAATCAATCAGGTATACCTGGGTTCTGTTCCTGGCTCTCCTTTACTGGCTGTGTGAATTTAGGCAAGTAGATTTAGGTCTCTGATCCTCAGTTCCCTCAACTGTGAAATGGGAGTGATAGTGCCTTCTTCTTCAGCTTGTTGTGAGAAGTAAAGGTTGTTGGCATATAGAAGATAGGAGTGGCCGGTGCCCCAGAGAGGCTTATATTTTAAGGAGTAGATTGATATGGTAGATAGCCATGTAAATTACAGTAATTATGATCCAGAAGTCTGTCCTAATATTTCTGGGAGAGAATGATTCCTTTAGGATTGGGAAAGGGATCAGAGGTGGTTTACCAGTGGAAGTGACTTTAAGTAACAGTTCTTCCAGTAGGATAAGGGATGGGAAGACAGACATGCAAATGGTATGGAGAGAACAGTAAACAGTCTCAGATTGTGTGGGAAGAGAAAGGAGGATGTGACAGATAAGGGATGAGGCCAGAAGTTATGTCAGTACTGCACCCTGGAGGCCTTTCATACCAGGCTAAGAAATGTGGGCTTTATCTTCCAGGCAGAGGGAACCACTGAGGAGTCTGAGCAAGGAAGCAGCTTGTTTCAGGTTTGAGGTTTAGAAAGATCATGAATGACTTGTAGAATGGGATGGGGATGGGGAGCAGGAAGACCAGAGACAAGTTGCAGTCTTTTCTGGGGGAGAGGATGTGAGAGGCAGTTCCCAGGTTGGCTGGGAGACTGGGGAGTATGGGGAGGAAGCAGGCAAGGGCACCACCTCTGAGTCTGACCAACTTGGTTGACGCTTTGATTTCCTCTTCTAATCTTGGGTGAGATACTTCACCTTTCTGAGCCTCAGTTTCCTCAGCTGTAAAGTGGGATCCATGTGGCTAGCGTGCAGTGAGATGCCCTAGAATGTTCGCCAAAACCCAGGTAGCTAAGGAGATGTTCACTGGGTTGGTTCCAATCCACAATACACATTTTTTTTGTTAGTGCCCCATGCTACCAACCACCTCATATTTATTTTTCTGTCTCCACTCCAGGCCTTGCCTACAGGTCATCCTAGCGTTAGTAGCAGTGTGCTGACAATTCTGTTTCCTGTTTTTTCACTTAACTTCTTCTTGTGAGTACTTTTCCATGCTACTTCACAGTCTCCCTCCCTGGCACAGCTGACTGCTACAGGTCATTCTGAGGAACTGACGGGAGGTTTGCCTTTGGCAGCACAGGGCCCTGGACACAGTGAACTGGCTGCCAGCGTGGCCAGGGGTACAAGCTATCTACCTGAAACAAGGGCTGCCTGTTATATCCCACACCCTCTTAACCCACCTAGCTTTGCTTACTTAACGTCCCTTCTTGGTTGGCTGCCAAGCACTTCAGACTTAATGAAAACACCTGGTGAAATGGAGCTCTCGGTCCCTCCTCTCCTCTTGTCCCACACTGTTCTTCATCTCACTAAATGGCAGTCTACCATCCACCTAGTCATTGAAACCAAAGCCTGGGAGTCCTTGTGTTTGGCCAAGCTCCTAGGGAGATCCTGATTCCTCCTTCCCCCTCACTCCCCACATCTAATCCTCTGGCAAATCGAGTCTGTCTCCTAAGTTGATCTGTTTTATCTACTTTTCTCTGTTGCCTCAGACCAAATCAAGTCCCTCTCATTTCTCATTTGGATGCCTGCAATGGCTTCCTCTTCCAGTCCATCCCATTTTCTTTACAGTAGCCAGAATAACAGTCGTTTAAAAATGCAAATCGGATGAAGACATTCTTCTTAAAACTTTTCTGTTTTCCCTGTAAGGCCTGGCATGATCTAGCCCCTGCTCACCTTGTGCCATTTGACAGTCGCCCTCCAGCTGCAGCCGCACTGGCCTCCCCAGGTTCCTAAACACTTCACACTGTTTCCTGGACTGCTTTTGTCCAGGTCTTCCCCTGCTGGCTTTCTCTCGTATTTCAGGTCTTAGCTTAAATGTCACCTCCCTGACCACTCTCCTCCTCCCGTCCCAGTTATTCTCTTTTTATTTATTTTTTTATTGTGCTAAAATATACATAACATAAAATATACCATTTTAACCCTTTCTAAGCGTACAGTTCTGTGGCATTAAGTACATTCACGTTGTTGTGTGACCCCAAGTTACTCTCTTATCATAGTACCTTGCCTATCCTTCACACAGCACTATCTATAATAATTTTGTGGTTTCTTTCTTTCCTACTAGAATGTCAGCTCCATGAGAACAGGGAGAGGTCTCCTTTTTCCTTGCTACACCTGGCCCAAAGCCAAGCAGTGGTACTAGGCACTCAATAAATACTTGTGGAATGAAAGGATAAACGCTGCTGTGTATTGAGTACTTTACTGTGTGCTTGGCACTGCAAAGTCTTGTACAAACATTTCATTTAGTCTTGACGGCAGCCCTGAGAAGTAGTCACGGCCTCCCTTCTTACAGATGAGGATACAGCTCAGAGAGGTTGAGGTTGCTGCCTGACCGTGGTCACAAATGCAGGGACAACTGAGCCACAGCTCTGGCAGGTGAATCCAATTCCCTCTAATCCCACAGAATGTGCATTTTTAGTGTGGAAAGAGGGGTCTCGGGGCTGGCCACATGGCTTGGCGGTTAAGTGTGTGCACTCCGCTACTGGCGGCCCAGGTTTGGATCCCGGGCGTGCACTGATGCACTGCTTCTCCGGCCATGCTGAGGCAGCGTCCCACATACAGCAACTAGAAGGATGTGCAACTATGACATAACAACTATCTACTGGGGCTTTGGGGAGAAAAAGGGAAAAAAAGGAGGAGGATTGGCAATAGATGTTAGCTCAGGGCCAGTCTTCCTCAGCAAAAAGAGGAGGATTGGCATGGATGTTAGCTCAGGGCTGATCTTCCTCACAAAAAAAAAAAAAAAGAGGGGTCTCAAAGAGGCAGATTGGGGCCGGCCCAGTGGCGTAGCAGTTAAGTTCCCGTGTCCTGCTTCGGTAGCCCGGGGTTCACCGGTTCAGATCCTGGGGACGGACCTACTCACTGCTCATCAAGCCATGCTGAGGCAGCGTCCCACATAAAAGAGCTACAACTCTACAACTGTGATAAACAACTATGTACTGGGGTTTTGGGAAGAAGAAAAGAGGAAGATTGGCAACAGATGTTAGTGCAGGGCCAACCTTCCTCAAAAAAAAAAGAGGCAGGTTGGAGGGGAGGAGTCCCACCCTGGGAGAATAAAAGTTGGGTGAGGCTCAGAACTGCCACCTTATCACAGGCAGAACTGGGCCAGTCACAACCTGTAGTTCAACTTGCAGAGGATCAACCTGCACAGGCGTGACAGATTCTAGGCCTTTGGCTATTTCCCCATCTTCAGTACTTGGTTCTCCTCCTTCAGGATAGTCAGCAGAAATGTGCCCAGAAATTCAGAGGCCACTGGCCTTGTGTTCATCGACCATGGAGTAGTGGGGACCTGGAGAGACTGAGGCTCTAGGATCTACTGGAAGGAGAGAAGGAAGGAATGGGGGGCGGTTATACCCACAGCTGAGCCTGAGAAGGGCTCTTGGAGTTTTCATTCCATTTGTAGGCTTGGGTAGAGTCTCTGTCCCTTACCTATAAAATGGAGGAGAGGTGGGTTAGATTACTTTAGAGCTGTACCTGAGCATTACCTGGTGCAGGCCCTCAGTGTTATAATAACACCAGTATTAATTTATTGAGCATTTTCTTTTATTTATTTATTTTTTTTGTGAGGAAGACCAGCCCTGAGCTAACATCCGATACCAATCGTCCTCTTTTTACTGAGGAAGATTGGCCCTGGGCTAACATCCGTGCCCATCTTCCTCTACTTTTATATAGGATGCTGCCACAGCATGGCTTGATAAGCAGTGCATCGGTGCGTGCCCGGGATCCGAACCTGTGAACCCTGGGCCGCTGAAGTGGAGCACGCGCACTTAACCGCTATGCCACCGGGCTGGCCCCTATTGAGCACTTTCTATGTAATTACTTTTACAGTATGAACTCATTTAATCCTACACATCACAAAGGTGTAAGAACTATTATTATCCCCATTTTACTGATGAGGAAATTGAATCATGAAGGGATTAAATAGCTTTGCCCAAAGTCAAACAGCTAGAAAGTAGCTGAGCCCAGATTCTAGCTCTGGAGGCTGTGCTCTTAACTGCCCCGTGCTATACCATTTCTGCATCTGGGTAGCTCAAAAGTGCCCTGGCCCGAGCCATCCTTTCCAAAGGGTTCACAGTCCAGAGTTGGGGAGCCCCAGGCTTAGACAACTTGACTGTCTTTCACAACCTTAAAGACCAGGGCTCAATAAAGATTTCTTTCCAAAGCTGCATGTGTGGAGGCAAAAGGCTTTGGACACAGTTTGGGCTGGATTGGAATTGAGAGAGCTGAGGAGAACGTCTCGGTTCTCAGTAGCCTTGGGGAAGACATGGAGACCTTGTGGAGGCGGCTGCAGTTAAAGGAAGGGGAGGACTCAGGGCTGAGGCTTTCAGCTGCCCTGGGTCATCCCAGGTCCTGCAACCCTTCTTGTCACCCATAGGTGATTTCCTTTCTCCCTTTTGTAACACCTGGTGTTTGTATGTTCGTGTGAGTGTTTATCTCTTGTTGGACTGTTTAGGAAGGTCAGGTTCCTCCCAGGAGTGGCACTTTCGGATCAAAGGGCACAGATGGTCTGGTTTGGTTTTATTTAATGAAAATAGCTTCTTTTTTTTTTTTTTGGTCTGATAATAACAGTAATGCAACACCAAAGTAATTAGTGGTTATCTCAGGGTCAGGTGGGAGTTATGAAGGATACTTCACTTAATGTTGTTCTTCAATGTTTTAATTTTTTATAATAAAATAAAAAATACGTGTAATGCTCCTTGTTGAACATCTTAGATAATATAGGAAGGTAACAAAAAAAAAGTAAAAATTGTCCATAATCCCATTTTCCAGAGGTTACCATTGTTAATATTGTATGTATTTCCTTCCACATATTTTTCTACACATATTTTTTGGTTGGTTGGTTGTTTTTGTGAGGAAGATCAGCCCTGAGCTAACATCCATGACAATCCTCTTTTTGCTGAGGAAGACTGGCCCTGAGCTAACATCCGTGCCCTTCCTCTACTTTATATGGGACGCCGCCACAGCATGGCCTGACAAGTGGTGCGTCGGTGCGCGCCCGGGGTCCGAACCCTGGGCCGCCAGCAGCAGACCGCGCACACTTAAGCGCTGTGCCACGGGGCCGGCCCCTCTACACATATTTTTACATGTGTATGCTTTTTTTGTGTGTGTGTGTGAAAAACGGGGTGATGGGCTGTTTTTCAGTCTGCTTATATTACTTGGCAATGGTGAACATCTTCCTGTTGAATAAATAAATCTCTGAACGCATCACTTTTATGATATGAATATACCACATATTATCTAGCCAGTCCCTGAGCACATGGGTTGCTCCATTTTTTGTTGTTTTGTGTTTTTTAAGTGTTGTGAAGAAGACAGTAGAGAATATTTGTGGAACTTAATCTTTGGGTGTATCCATTATTCTGTTCTTGTTCTTCTCAGATCAGTTCTGAGAAGTGGAATTTCTGGGCAATTCCTGTCACATTTTTTAGGGTTTTTGATAAATATTGCCTAAATAGAGCAGGAAAATGATTGCCATTTCTGACATGGAGTATTTGCCTGGGTTTTTCAGGACAGGAACATGCCACCCAAGCGTATAGCTAAGAGAAGGTCACCTCCAGAAGATGCCCCCCCCAAAAGCAAGAAGGTGAAGGGTAAGTTGGCCGGGGCATCTCTCTTGGTATGGGTGGCCTCTTGGAGCCCCCGGAATCTGGGACTAGGCTCCTTCCTCCATGACATTTGAAGCTGAGGGGCCTGGAAGTACAGGCGCTCCACCCAGCTGGAGAGTCTCCTGGAGCTCCTTGAATCCCGCCGTCTGGGAATCGTAAAGGATCAAAGACCTTTGATCCTAAAAGCACTCAAGCAGTACTGGCAGAAAACTAGACCCCAGAGCTTTGCCCTAGGCAGTAATGCATTATGGTTAGGACCACTGACTTCTAGACGTGGGTTCAAGTCCTGGTTCCGCCACTTTCTAGCTGTGTAACTTTGGGCAACACACTAACCTTGCTGAGCTTGGATTAGCCCATTCATAAAAGAGAAGTGAGAACAGCACCAACCTGCTGGGCTGCTGTGAGGAAATAGAGATAAAATCCTGGTAGCATCTGAGGGAGGTGGCTGTGGTTTCCTCTCTTGGGATCCTGGAGGGAGACGGGGAGGAGAGAAATCCACCCCTAGTCTGGGCGGGGGGACTGTGGACCCGCACTCAGACAGTGTCTGTCTTTTGCAGACCCTCGTAACCAGGCAGTGAGGGCCGTTGCCTCCCGCCGCGTTCCGGGCGCCCGCTCCTGCCGAGGTGCCTGTGGGCCGAGCCCTCCTGACCAGAAAACCCGACCCGGTGGCTCCCTGCCCAGCGCACCCTCTGCGCAGCCGCAGCGGCCCTGGCTGCCGTGGCCACACCCCCTGGGGGTGGGGCTGGACGCCATTGGCTGTCCGGGGCTTCAGGCGGTCGCCTTTGGCTAGCAGATGGCCCTCTGCTGCCCAGTGGTTGGCGCGCACCTCTCCGCGAAGCCTGTGTCGGCTCTACTGCTGCCCCTTCTGTTTAGCCGCCTGTCTGCTCCGGGATAGGAGTGGAGGGTGTCAGTGTGAATATGTATGGGAGTTAAGTCACAGCCTGAGGAGGGAGGCTAGAGGCTGTGTTCTGACCCACGTAGGCTCCCTTGGTTTCAGTGGAAACTCGACTACTTACTCTATGACCCCGAGAAAGTTGCTTAACCTCTCTGTTCCCTTTCCAGTAAAACGGGATCCTAAATATGGAAGGTCTGTAGCATAATTTAGGGGACTACAAAGCAATTTAACGTTAGTAGAGTAAGCAGTCAGTAAAGGGTAGACACTACCTGAGCCCTCACTGTTGGCATCATGGCTCCTGACCAAAAACTTACAGCCAATCAGGAAAACTATCTTGTGTCCCCACTGTTCTCTTCCACTCTCCACCAAGATTCATTTCCCAAGATTGAATGTCTCCTTGTTTCCATTTCCTCCCTCGCGTGTTAATACAGTACTCAGTTTTCAGTCTCCATAAAAATCCTATGAGATGGGTACTGTTGCTATCCTCATTGTACAAGTGAGGAAACTTAGGCTTGTAAAGGTCATACTAATGGTCTGTGGCAGAGCAGGGGTTTGAACCCAGGTCTGTGTGATCCCAGAGCCCATGCAGTGCTTTCTCTCTCCCATCATCCTACACACTCAGGGGCTGTCTTCTTCACCCCTCAGTCTCACATAGGTCCCACAGCACAGAACCCGGCTTGGTGCTGACACTGGGCCAGGGCGACGTGGGCCAGCTGGGGCTGGGTGAGAATGTGATGGAGAGGAAGAAGCCAGCCCTGGTGCCCATTCCGGAGGATATTGTGCAGGCTGAGGCTGGGGGCATGCACACCGTGTGTCTAAGCAAAAGTGGCCAGGTAGGTTTGGGGGGATGGGGCAGAGGATTGGGCAGGGCCTGGGGTTGGGGGGCTTAGGAAAGGAGCTTTGAGCCACACACATTTCTCTATGGAGATGGAGGTGGCCAGCTGAGCAGGGGGTGGCCTAAACAAGAATGGACCAAGAGGCCAGACCTTGCACTAATGGGGACATCCTGGGCACAGGTCTACTCCTTCGGCTGCAATGATGAGGGTGCTCTGGGAAGGGACACATCAGTGGAGGGCTCAGAGATGGTCCCCGGGAAAGTGGAGCTACAAGAGAAGGTGGTACAGGTGTCAGCAGGAGACAGTCACACAGCAGCCCTCACCGAGGATGGCCGTGTCTTCCTCTGGGGCTCCTTCCGGGTAAGACTGGGTCTGGAAGACTGCGTGGGAGCTGGCAGGCAGAATTGACTGGTAGGGCGCCAAAGATAACCCGTCTCCACGCCCCTGTTGTACTTACTGGTGGGGAAATCAAGGCCAGAGGCAGAGCTTGGGTCGAGACCCAGGTTTCTGGCTTCTTCATCCAGGCCTGTCCACACCACTGGCTGTTTCCTTGAATCTGATGTTATGAAATGTGTTGTGTGTCTTGAGAAAGAGGTGGGTCAAGGATGTCTTTGGGCTGAGGCTGATCCAGGAAGCCTACTGTCCTCACCCATCTCCCTGCCTTCAACCCTCCCCTCCCCCTTCCCAGGCCTCTTCCACACTTCTCAGGGGTTTTGGGGCAGGGGAGTAAATTGTCATGTCTCAGAATTTCCAAGACAGGGGAGTGTAGTTTAAAAAGCAGATTCAGCATTAAAATTGTTTTGGTACTTTGGTATTTGATTTCTTTTGAAATGTGAAAAATAAAGGAATCTGATGAGGTGTTTCCTCATCAGGTTTATTTTAACATTTTTTTATGGAGAATTTTAAACACATAAAAATAATCAGAATAATGTATTGAACACCGATCTACTTGCCTCAACAATTGTCAACTTGTGGCCAAACTTGTTTCCTCTCTATTCCCATCCACTCCCCCACTCCTTTGTTATTTTAATGCAAATCACAGACCACATAGAATATCATTCATAAGTATTTCACTGTGTGGCCTGGCTCCTGCCCCCTCTCTATCCCCATCTGCCACCAGTGCTTCACAAGACAGCTCTGTGGCTGCCTGCAAGCCTGGATCTGGCTGGTGTAGGGCAGGCAGGACCAGCTCATAAGTGCTCTGCCCCTCCCTTCCAGGACAATAATGGTGTGATCGGGCTCTTGGAGCCTATGAAGAAGAGCATGGTGCCCGTGCAAGTACAGCTGAGTGTGCCTGTGGTGAAGGTGGCCTCAGGTGAGTCTGGGGGTACTCACTCTTTTTTATTTATTTATTTATTTATTTATTTAGTGAGGAAGATCGGCCCTGAGCTAACATCTGCCAATCCTCCTCTTTTT